ATTGAGCAAAAAAGCCCACGCAGTGATAACAAGCAATAGGGGTACCAGACCTATCCTCGTCAATCTGTTTCAGTCCTTTCGCACTTTGCCCCCATATATTTAAATTATTGTTTACCAGATTGTTGTCAGCTGGTTTATTTGCATTACCTCAATTACTAGTGTGGCTGAGTGTTTTCCCACCATCTCTGTCTTTGTAGTATATCAATTTTCACTAAAGAAAACCTTCTTCACTCCTGTTACCTTTATGACCTAAATACTATCATCTTCTCACCATAAGTTTCAAAAGATATGCCCACAGTCCATTATTCATTTTATTATGACTAGGTAAGAGGGAAGGTATCACCTTTCTAAAATTTTATTCTATCACAGAGGTCTTTTGTTTTTCTGGATCTTGCTAATATTCTCATGTTTTCTCTCTCTGTATTTTTCAGGAGATGGTCATGACAACATAGAAACACAACATGGAAGAAGAAAAGGAAAAGCACGCCATCAATTTACACCTGAGGAACTGCACATACTGAATCAATCATTTGCAGAGAGTCCTTATCCTGACTTTATGACCAAGGAGGAACTGGTCAAAAAACTCCATTGTTCGTTTTACACAATTGAGGTACATAAACTACGTAGGTATTTACATGAATATGTCTTTGTGGACAATAATAAAAAAGCAACTAATTATGAAAAAGTATAACAGCATTTCATCACATAAGACAGCGTTGACATTTGGTCCCATTTCTTCTTCATGTCATTGTGGATGTGACTATATTAAAGCATGTTATGTGTTATTTTTGAAACAGATTTATTTATTTGAAAATCAGAGTTACACAGAGAGAGGGAAGGAGAGGCAGAGAGAGAGAGCAAGGTCTCCCATCTGCTGGTTCACTCCCCACCTGGCCTCAACGGCCGGAGCTATGTTGATTCGAAGTCAGCAGCCAGGAGCTTCTTCTGGGTCTCTCATGTGGGTACAGGGGCCCAAGCACTTGGGCCATCTCACTGCTTTCCCAGGCCATAGTTGAGAGGTGGATCAGAAGTGGAGCAGCCAGGACTTGAACTGGTGTCCATATGGAATGCCGGCTCTGCAGGTGGCGGTTTTACCTCCTATGCCACAGCACTGGCCCCAATTACTCTCACTTTACAAAGGAGAAAAAGTAGAGTAGAGGTTCCACAAAACACTTAGGGTAAGGTATAAAGTAATACCGCTAAGTTATGGCAGACGCTTGTTTGTTTTGGGTATGGCCTTTGAAGAAAATGACATTTAGAATACGATTTAGAATACGTTGAATTAGGAATTCATTCTGGAAAAGCAGTTGGAGTAAAATAAGCAAGCTAAGGGAACATATTTTGAGAACAGCTGCTTCACGTCTAAATGCAGAGGGTGCAAATAGGTTGGTAGAAGATTTGGAAAAGTAGGGATTTGCTCATACATAAGGGCCCGTGCCTCCTGTGAAGGCAGATGGGAATCCAGAATTGTGCACAATTACGATTTTAATTATTATAAACGTATATTTATATATACATTTACATATCATATTTACTATAAATGCATTCTCGTATTATAAATATAATAACACAGGAAGCCCCTGGAAAGCGTGCTTGCATTTTGCATGTCTTACTCAAGGTCACGAAGGAAATCAGTGATGACGCTGATCCTAAGATGAACTACAAAATTCTCCTACATTGGCGAATATATAGACTCGAAAGTAATTTCTGTTTTGTTTCTTTTTTAGAACTGGTTCCAAAATAAAAGAGCCAGACTAGCAGCCAAGAAGAGACGCAAAGTGCTTGAAGCCAGGATGCCATATGCACTCCCTGTCCAAGGTCCCCCAGGTGTAAGACTGCAGAATTCCCAGGAGCGGTTTCCCAACACTACCCAGGTGGCTGTGCTGGGTGGAGCTGTCTACGCCACTCCACGTGCCCAGGTGTGGTCTCCCAACTTTGCCCAGGCAGCTGTGCTGGGTGGAGCTGTCTACACCACTCCATGTGCCCACGTGTGGTCTCCCAACACTGCCCAGGTGGCTGTGCTGGGTGGAGCTGTCTACACCACTCCACGAGCCCAGGAGTGGTCTCCCAACGCTGGCCAGGTGGCTGTGCTGGACGGAGCTGTCTACCCCACTCCACATGCCCAGGAGTGGTCTCCCAACGCTGCCCAGGTAGCTGTGCTGGGAGGAGCTGTCTACACCGTTCCATGTGCCCAGGAGTGGTCTCCCAACGCTGCCCAGGCAGCTGTGCTGGGCAGAGCTGTCTACTCCACTCCACGTGCCCAGGATTGGTCTCCCAACGCTGCCCAGGCGGCCCTGCTGGGCGGAGCTGTCTGCTCCACTCCACCCACATGGGAGGTTTCCAGCCCGCTCTATGGCTCCTGGGATTCTGGGGTTCGAGGTGCTCAAGAGGCACCAAGCTATGCTCTGGAGAATCAAGGGAACGTAGGAGGTGGATCTTTTCCCCGTGGCATTCCAGGAGCAAGGTTTATTCATTCTTTTTCATACGCACCGTATTTTGGGAGTTCCAGGTCAGAGATGAGGGTCATGCAGCCTGATTGGCCTTCCCTGCTACCCGGTGTTCCCAGTGCTCAGGGAGCAATGCAACAGCTGCAGGAGCAGAGCTCTTTTCGTTACCCACCATGTGAAGAATGGCAGCAGAATGGCTGGGGAACACACCCTCAGCAGCCCCAGCAGCCTCCGGATTACTGGCAGGAGCTGTCCTCCCAGGACCAGTTTCCAATGCAGCAGAATCACAACAGCGCAGAGAACAGGGTGCCTTTTCCTCTGTCCCAGCAGCAGCCTGGAGATCGTCAAGGTGATGGAGAGCTCATGTTCTTGCAGGTGTTGAGCACAGCTCTGCGGGTACTCAGTTCTCCAACAGAACCTCACGAGCAAGATACGCAGCAAGGTGGTGCCCGAGATGCCCAGTTCTGAAATCCAGGACATTTTGAAAGAGGAACACACCGGTGCCAACTTCTGGGACTAGAAATGTGGCTGCAGGAAATGGCGTTGGGCTTTTGAGTCAGCAGATGGCTGTCATACTACAATTGTGTACCTGGGAGTCGAAGGTTCTTGAAAGAAAGGAACTAGCTCATAGTGTACATCCTTTGTGTGTGTGGCTGGTTAGGGTTGTGGACGTATTTTCTATCATGTTGGCATTTATATTCTTGAAGGACATTTTGTACTGGTAGTTATTGTAGGGGGTTGTGTCACGTTAAACTAGGATTAAAGGAGTCAATTAGGCTACCTTTCTTACTATTTTCTATAATTTTGTACAACACTGCACTTAGCCCTTCATTAAACGTTTGGATTTTACAATGACGGCTCTGATAGATTCATTAGAGGGAGATTTTGCCTCCTGATCTCATTATAGGTGATTAGAAAACTATCATTTCTCCTTGAGTGAAATTTGTGATTATGTTTGCTAATACTAATTCCATTTCATCTAGGGTTTTAAATTTACTGCTATAAATCATCTGAAGTACCATTAGGGCTTTCATTCCTAGAGTATTTGTGTATGTAAAATGTGTCATTTTCAAGTTTTAGACTCGCATCTTCTAATCTTGGTGTTTTATTGCCAGCTATTTGTCCCTTGGAAGAAAAGTTTGGAGAAAAACCCAGATTGCATGGAGTCCTTTAAATTTCACCATGGGTGCGGTCCCTGGTCTTGAGCAGTGTATGTTGCTGCCTCCCAGTAGGGAACTGTGAAAAAACATTACTTCCCAGGCCGGCACTGTGGCACAGCGGGTTAACACTCTGGCCTGAGCACTGGCATCCCATATGGGCACCGGTATGAAACCTGGTGCTCTGCTTCCAATCCAGCTCTCTGCTATGGCCTGGGAAAGCAGAAGATGGCCCTTGTCCTTGAGCCCCTGCACCTGTGTGGCAGACCCAGAAGAAACTCCTGCCTCCCAGCTTTGGATCAGCACAGTTCAGGCCATTGCAGCCAACTGGGGAGTGAACCACCAGATGGAAGTCCTCTCTCTCTCTCTCTCTCTCTCTCTGTGAAACTCTGACTTTCAAATAAAAAATAAATATTAAAAAAAAAGATCTCTACAGGTGCTGGTGCTCTGGTGCAGCGGGTAAAGCCGCCATCCTATATGGTTGCCAGTTCAAGTCTCAACTGTTCCACTTCTGATCTAGCTCCCAGCTAATGCACCTGGGAGAGTCGTGGAAGATGGTCCAAGTCCTTGGGCCCCTACACCTATGTGTGAGACCCGAAAGAAGCTCCTCCTCCTGGTATAGCTCCAGCTGTTGCGGCCTTTTGGGGGAGTGAACCAGTGGATGGAAGACTCTGTCTGCCTGTCTGTCTCTCTGTCATTCTGCCTTTCAAATAAATACAGCTTTAAAAAAATTCTGTAACTCAGACAGTAGGATTTAGACAACAGGCAGGGGCATGGGCAGGGGCACAGCATCTAACAATTTATTCTCTTGGCTTGTTTTCCCAAGAATATTCCAAGAAGAGTGATCTTGCAATGCTGCACCCCCAGGGATTGGGCCTCACAGCAAGGAGAGCTGCAAGAGCCCAGCAGGAGTTGGGTTTTGAACACACGATGTGTGCTGCTGTGGGTTGCTTGAGCAGGTAGGGCCCTCTTGCTTCTCTTTTTCCTCTATCCCAGCCACGCCCTCACTCTACAATCCCTCAAAAATGGCTTCTCACAGAGGCAGTAGTTTTAGGGAGCTGTACTTTCCCAGTCTCTTTGGCACAATAAAGCTCTCCTTTGAATTGTCGTGGGAGACCAATCATTTGTTGACTCCCCAGGCAAATGAACCCCTTTTGTCTGATATATGGAGGGGCAGGGGAGCTGCTCTAGGACTTGATGAGAGGTGTCCACTCCAAGCTGGAGGGGTGGGCATGCGGCCATATTTGTCCTGTAGTTTGGGGCCTTCTCAATACACAGTTGCTCCTTATGCACAGAACCCTGGAAAGCCAGCCAGTCATTTCCTGCGACCTCTTTCAAAGCAGGACTGGGGACCGGAAGTGTGCAAGTGTGTCAGGTCCTGTCCTGGTCACTTGAGTTGTCAGGCACCACCCAGTGACAACCTGAGGCAGCAGGCACTGAGTCTCTGGCCCTAGCACCTTGCATCTGAAACTGTGCAGAGAAAAGCCCAAGAATTGTTTCTGGTGGGAACTGGGACTTTGCGTCTGGCTACTACAGACCTTCACTCTGTCTGGTGTGTGGAGGCTCCAAGGGGCCCATTGTGCAGTGCGGCACAGTGCAATACTTCCAGCAGGGAGCCAGAATGAGGAACAGCAGGGTGACGTCTGTCTGGGCAGCTGCAATGGGGAGCCTGCTAAGGGGTTGGGGCAGTCCCTGCTCAGCTCTGTGCCTCCCCTTTAAGGTCTTTGCATGCTCCTCTGCGACCTCTGCTGGCCGGTGGTTGTACTGCAGAATTTTCAGGTGGACACAGTGTACCTTAGAAATGCATTATTCATTGACTCAGGTGAGATGTGGTCAAAATCAACTCCTAGAGGACATTTCGAAGGTATTTTTAAGTGCTCCATCTCCACCGAGGTCCCTCTTAACTTGGTGAGCCTGGTTGTCCAATCGCCACCACAGTGGATTCACAGCTGCCACAGACATGATGATGCTTTCCTCAACACAGACTGTGTGATCCAGACCCACAGGAGAGTCTGGGTGGGGGTGGGGGGCACATCTTCCTCTTTGCATGCCCTCCCTACAATGTCCCAAAGTCACACTGAGCCCCATCGAAGCATCGGGCATGGACGCCTGTGGGGCCACCTCAGGGCTCAGCTCCTGGTCCTCCAGTGGAAAGTGGTTCCTGAGAAGACTTGGCCACGGCCACCCATCCTCAAGGCCACCCCACCTGAGCCGTGTGCCAGAGTGGACCCTGGGTTTGAGTCCCAGCTGCTCCACTTCTGATCCCGCTCCCTCCTAATACGCCTGAGAAAACAGCAGAGGAGTGCCCCTGCATCCTTGTGGGAGACCTGGAAGAAGCTCCTGGCTCTTGGCTTCAGCCTGGCCCAGCACCGGTCATTGCTGCCATTTGGGGAATGAGCCAGTGGATGGAAGATTTTCCTCTGTCTCTGCCACTGTTGTAACTCTGCCTTTCAAAAAAAGAGAATAAATATTTTTTAAAACCACCTTTCTTTGCCAGTCTGGGAAATGTGACATTGTAGATTTAACATTATGCAAGGAGATGCTACCAGGAGTATCCAAAGGCAGGAGCAAGTGAGCAGCACCTGTGGTTGGTCAAGGGAGGATATTGGAGAAATAGGTCTGCTTGCATGCAAAATTAGGCAAAACTGATGCAAAAGATCAAGTCACAAGACTTGAGACAGGAGCAAAGATGACAGCAGTGGCAGAGGGTGGACCACTACCCCCCAGACCCTGTAAGTTAATAGCTCCCTCGCGCAGGTCTGTGACAAGAGTGTTCACAGCTCAGGGGTCCTAATTTATCTCAACGCACAAGGCAGACACCAGGGGAGGAAGTGGAAAATACAAGTCTGAACAAAGGCAAGGTCAAGGCCTGCTTGTGAAGTCACTCTCACAAGAGGAAAACGGGGGCTCTCTGAGGCCTGGAGCAGGTTGCCAAAGAGGGACAGGTGGCAGCTCCACGAGTCACTCCCTCCCACTCCCGCCCAAGGCTGCTGCTTCTGCAGCTCCTGCACCTGCCTCACCCCTGCCCGGATATGCCAAGCAGCTCTTTCACAATCCGGGCTGTTGAGATGGAGAAGGAAATTGCACACGGCAGGCCCTGGCTCTTGAGATCTGCAGATGTGAGTTTCTTTTTTGAAGTCACTCTAGGTCGTTGTGCAACTCAGTAATGACAGGACCTCAGATTCCTGGGCATCTCTAAAATTCGGACACTGAGGGGGTTGTTTTGGGCTCCCAGGGCCTCAGTGGGGTGCAGATGGGAATCACCCTAACGTGATGATGTGGGAAGTGTTCCGTTTATCAGCATCAGGTTTTTAGCACACAGTTGGGGGTAAGAGGGAGTGAGTCAACAAGGAAGAAAACTTCTCTACTTCTTGAAGGGAGTTCTCAGAAGACCAGGGCCTGGCAGCTCAGCTTACAGGACAGGCATAAAGAGTGCGCACCTGCCAAGCCAGGACCAGTTTGTCTGGAGCTCCTGGGACCCCAGAGGCAGCAGCCTGTGAGTGTCTCGTTTTCTTTTCCCTGTGGCCTATGAATATCCTGTGGCCGTCTGGACAGTGTTCCATGCCGGAGTTGAAGGGAGGAGGGTCTGCAGCTCTTCTGGTCTTGTAGTTGGGTTTGGGAGGTGGGGGCACACGGGGTGGGGAGGTGCCCGTCTGCCCTCCACTAAGCTGCCTGGAACCGGAAGGGCACTGGCTTGCTGAACGGGGGTGCGGTGGGTGAGTAGGATGGGACACCCTCTCTTAGATGCTCTTGCATGGAAGCCTCAGGTGGGCAGTGCAATTCCACCTTCTCTCTTGGCTCCTTGTCTGCTCCTGGTTTCTTCAGAAAGAGAAGTGGAGGAGAAACAGATCCGGCATTCACAGGCTTGGGTTCGACACCCATCCCGATGCTTCTCTCTTGGCCTCTAGACTTGACTTAAAATGATTCTTAATGAATTAGGACTCTGGTTTTCCAACCATGTGTCCAGAGGTGTCCTTTTTTTCCTATAAAATCTTACTCTGGAGGCTTAGCTTAAAGTGAACCCTGCATGGGTTGAGGGGCTGTGGCTGCCTTGTCCATCTGAATCTCAGGTCTGAGACCTCTGAGCCTGCCTGTGTCTGGATCCTTCCTTCAGCAATGGGTGATGGCATTTCTGAGCCGTCTTGAGCTGGTGTGAAAATGTCTATTGCTTTCATTTTTCCCCCAAATCAGTCTCAGGGTCCCAGAGTTGACGCAGCTGTGGGACAGGGGACATTGCCCTCGTTCTGGCCTGGGTCGGCCCCTGGGTGATCAGGAAGGCTCTACCAGGACGAGTGCAAGCCTGTGAGCTCAGCTTAGTGTTTCTAGAGGCTTGTGGGGCACCTGAGGAGGTGGCAAATTCAACAGCGCAAGATGCTTGTGAGTTACAGGGTTCGCCTACACGGCGCATTATCAGCTGTTGGAGAGGGGCCCTCTGGCCAGGTAGCCCCTCTCCTGACATTGACCGAGCTGGCCTGCTGACCCTTTTGTCTTTGCAGGGCTCCCTTTGGCTCTGTGTCCAGCCTCTGAGACTCCCACTTCCACCCTCATTACTTCACGGTTTCTCTCTTTGGCAGGAAGACACCCAGATGCAGAGAGTGGCCCGGGTCCTGCGCTTACCCCGTGCTCTGTTACCATCTCCTGTCAGGTGGTAACTGGATGTCCTGTTTGGTAGTTGCTCATACGTCCCACAGGCCCTTTCCCCTGGCCAGGGCCACCTGGTGTATCACCTTCCCTCATAAGTCCCCTCTTCCAGCCCTCTCAGGTACACTGGGAAGAGCTGAGGGGCTGAGTCTCTGCAGCTGCTAACTTGGTGGGTGAAACTTGGGTGAAAACGTGCCCTGGGTTCCCTCGGGGGCTTTCTTCTGCTTGGGGGCCACCTCTGGTTCAGAACTGGCAAATCGCCTGGCATATGCTGCTGCACTTGCAGACTGAGCTCAGTCAGACGTCACTAGGCATTGAGAACCCTGGTTCATCTTCCTTCTTTCCTTCCTCTCTCCCTCCCTCCCTCCCTCCTTCCTTCCTTAATTGAAAGGCAGAGTTCCAGAGAGGTAGAGGCCGAGACAAAGAGAGAGGTTTTCATCTGCTGGTTCACTTCCCAGATGGACGCAACAGCCAGAGCTGTGACGACCCGAAGTCAGGAGCTTCTTCTGGGCCTCCTGCATGGGTGCAGGGGCCCATGGACTTGGGCCATCTTCCACTTCTTTTCCAGACCACAGCAGAGAGCTGGATCAGAAGTGGAGTATCTGAGACTTGAACCAGCTGCCATATGAGATGTCAGCACTGCAGCCGGAGACTTTACCCGCTATGCCACAGTGCCCTTCCCTCCCACCCCACCCCCCTCCCCATTCATTTTCCAACACTGTGAGTTGCCATTGCTAACCCACTCAAGGCGGCAAGTCAGTGAGGGAGTAGAAGGTTGCCTGTCTGAGCTGAGCCAACCACCTCCTGTTACAGACAAGGTGAAGGAGTCCAAGAAGGCAAAAGTCCTGCCTGGAGGGAGCACTCACTAGGTCCTTGGGGATGGAACACACAGCCTCAGTGAGGACCCTCCATGCTGGCCGCTGTTTCAATGGCAGTGCCCAAGAAAAAGCAGAATGGCGTGGGGGACGTGAGAACGAGGACATTGTGGTCAACCCATGTGAGAGTCCCAGTGCTCTCCGAGGCTGGACCGTGTGCCCATCTTGTCTCCAAATCACTTTGAGCATCTGGCTGCTTTGAGCTCCATAGCAGGAAGGGGCAGGGGTAAGGAGTGGCTGCTTCTGACCTTCAGGAGCTGGGCCATGCCCTATACCATGTCCTAGAGCCGAAATCATGTCCTTTCCTCTCTGTTCTTCTCCCCAGGCCATGCTGCTCCTCCTCCTGACCTCACTGTTCCTGCGTGCCCAGCCCCGGGGATGCCTGGAAGAAGAGATGAGGACCTACTCCCAGAGGACAGTGAGCAACGTCTGCACCCACGTCATGTGTGGCCCAGTGGAAGACAGCCTTCCTGGTCGAGATGGACAGGATGGCAGAGAGGGCCCCCAGGGTGAGAAGGGGGATCCAGGTGGAGCTGGGACCCAGGGCTTGTCCTGGTGGGCGGGGTGGGCGTTGGAATTGTCACCGATCCAGCGCATCTGGATAGCTTGTGACGGAAAACCCGGAGATGGGATCTTCCTTCCAGGGGGTTGGTTCTCTCTTCTGCAGCACCATGTCCATTCCATCGGCTGGCAAGTGAGCGGCTTTCCTGAGCCCCCAGCTGCCTCCCTGTATCACCCAACCCTCCTGGTTCCTCCCCAAGGCCCCAGCTGGCTCCCTCCCCAAGAACAAGCAAATAGTTAGTAAATTACCCCAAATAGTTGGTAAGTTACTGATATTTAGGGCCCTCTAGAGCCCTTTTCAGATAGCTAACAGGTGTTCATTGACTAAAATGATGCCTACGCAGAGTGTTAAATATCTTCAATATTTAATTAAACTTCACCACATGAAAAGTGGGCAAACACTCAGGCCTAATCAAAAGGGTTTTCCCTAACACATTACAGGGGGAGAAGGGAAGCTCACATTTCTT